GAGGCCTAATCGCAACAAATGTCACACTTTGTGCTGTTGTAACAAATGCATTTGTCTTCCAATTGGAATTGAATAATTGGGCGCCCTCTCTCGCTCGCTCTCGTTTCACTTCCATTTTTTTTTTTTGGTTTCTTATGATCTATTTTTCGTCTCTCCCTCGCTTTGTTGACATTCATATCGTGTATAGTTAGCCACAAATTTTCTGTCCCTGACCTAGTATACGGTTATTGAGTAAAGGTTACTTGCAAGTCAAGCGACAAACACTGTACGTGATGTGATCTGGAGTCAGAGATGGGAGTGTGGATTAACAAAATGAACCAAAATTATGAAAATGCGGTACGGGCATTATGCAGCCATTTTTTCAAGAATATATTTTCAATAATCAATGATTGTTGACTTTTTGAAATTATTTTTTAAGGGCCACATAAATAGATTTTTTTTGAAAATATTTTTCTAAAGGACCATGCACCTTCAAACGAAATTCAAAAAATTTTTGTAAGGCGCCGTAGGACCTTCAATCTGGTGTTCTATTAATTTTTCTGAAGGGTCACCGACCTTCAACTTGGATATTTTGAGAATGTTTTCTGAAGGGTCTCAGACCATCAAACTGAGTTTTAATATTTTTTTTTTTTTTGAAAAAATTACATCGGTGATTTTTCTGAGTATATTAGTAATTGCCATTAGACCTTCAAACGTTAGGATTTGGAATTTTTTCTGCCAGGCCTTCGAACATTGAATGTTAGAACACTTTTTTAAGGGCAATCAAACCTTCAATCTAGAATTTTTTAATTAATTTTCTGAGATCATAAGACCCCATATACGGAACTTCAGACATGGATTTTGAAAAAATATTTCTCTTCAAATTTTCGTGGATTTTTAAATAATATTCTCTTTAAATTTGCGTGGATTTTTAAATAATGTTTGATGTTTAATTTTTTTCCATCAAACATTCATACTTTAAACGTGGTTTTTTAAAAATGTTTTTAAGTTCCCTGAAACCTTTAACATTGAATGTTTGAACACGTATTTTAAGGGCAATCAAACCTTCAGTCTAGAATTTTCAATTAATTTTCTGAGATCATAAGACCTCCAAATACGGAACTTCAGACTTGGATTTTGAAAAAACACTCTTCTAATTCCTGTAGATTTTAAAATAAAATTTCTCTAATGATCCATCAAACCTTCTAACTTGAACATGAAGATTATTTTTTTTTTTGAAGTTCCATCAAACTGCGCGTTTTCTAAAAAATGCTTTAAAGTTCCATTAAAGCTTCAAACTTAGAATTTTTTTGAAAAAAAAAATTGAAGTTCCATCAAACCTTCAAACATAAAACGTGGATTTTTAAAAGAATTTTTCTGAAGTTCCATCAAACCTTGAATTTAAAAAAATATATTTTCCTGTGAGTTCATCAAACTTCCAACTAAGTTACAACAAACCTTCAAACTTTGAACGTGGATTTTTTTAAAAATTTTGTCTCAAGTTCCATCAAACCTTCAAACTTTAAACGTAGAACTTTGAGAACATATTTCTGAAGTTCCATCAAACCGTTAAATACTAAACGTGGATTTTTAAAAAATGTTTCTGAAGTACCATCAAACCTTCAAATATTAAAACTTCAGACTTGGATTTTGAAAAAATATTTCTCTTAAATTTGCGTGGATTTTAAAATAAAATTTCTCTAATGATCCATCAAACCTTCAAACTTTGCACACGGAGTTTTAATTTTTTTTTTTAAGTTCCATCAAACTTTTCATATTTTAAACGTGCGTTTCTAGAAAATATTCCATTAAAGCTTCAAACTTTAGGATTACAAAAAAAATTGAAGTTCCACCAAACTTTCAAACTTAAAACGTGGATTTTTAAAAATATTTTCCTGTGGTTCCATCAAACCTTCAAACATCGAATGTGTATTTTTAAAAAATATTTTCTGAAGTTCCGTCAAACCTTCAAACATTAAATGTGGATTTTTAAAAATATTCTCTGTGGTCCATCAAAACTTCAAACTTAAGTTACAACAAACCTTCAAACTTTGAACGTGGATTTTTAAGTATTTGTTCTAAATTCCAACAAACCTTCAAAATTTAAACGTGGAACTTTGAGAATACATATCTGAAGTTGCATCAAACCTTAAAACATTAAATGGGGATTTTTAAAAAATATTTTTTGAAGTTCTATCAAAATCTTCAAACTTTTTTTTTAATTTTAATTTCTTTTGGAAGTTTCATCAAACCTTCATATTTAAACGTGTGTTTTTAAAAATATTTTTAAGTTCCATTAAACCTTCAAACTTTAGGATTTTTTAAAAAAAATTGAAGTTCCACCAAACTTTCAAACTTAAACGTGGATTTTTAAAAATATTTTCTGAAGTTCCATCAAACCTTCAAACATCGAATGTGTATTTTTAAAAATTATTTTCTGAAGTTCCATCAAACCTTAAATTTTAAACGTGATTTTTTTTAAATATTTTTCTAAAGCTCTATCAAACCTTCAAATTTTAAACACGGAGTTTTAAAAATACTTTTCTCTAGTTCCATCAAACCTTCAAACATTAAACGTGGTATTTAAAAAAAAAAAAAACTTTTCTGAAGTTCCATCAAACCTTCAAACTTTAAATCGGTATTTGTACAAATATTTTTCTGAAGTTCCATCAAACCTTGAAACATTAAATGTGGATTTTTAAAAAATATTTTTTGAAGTTCTATCAAATCTTCGAACTTTAAATGTGAGTTTATAGAAATACTTTTCTGAAGTTCCATCAAACCTTTAAGCATTAAACGTGGATTTTTAAGAATATTTTCTGAAGTTTCATTAAACTTTAAATGTGGATATTTAACAAAAATATTTTATTGAAGTTTCATTAAACCTTAAATGTTTCTTTTTCTGTGGTTCCATCAGACCTTCAAACTTAAGTCCCATCAAACCTTCAAATTTTAACGTGAATTTTTACAAATATTTTTCTGAAGTTCCATCAAACCTTCAAATTTTAACGTAAATTTTTTAATAATATTTTTCTGAAGTTCCATCAAACCTTCAAACATTAAACGTATAGATTTAAAAATTATTTTCTGAAGTTCCATCAAACATTTCAACATTAAACTTGGATTATTAAAAATATACTTCTGAGGTAAAGTCCACATTAACGTGGATTAAAAAAAAAAACATTTTTCTGAATTTCCATCAAACCTTCGAACATTAAACATTGATTTAAAAAAAAAAAAATATTTATCTGAAAGGCCTTCATAACTTCAAGCGTTTAATGTGGATTTCTAAAAATATTATTCCTAAGTTCCATCAACCTTCAAACATGAAACGTGGATTTTTTTTAATATTTTTCTAAAGTTACATCAAACCTTCAAATATTAAATGCGGAGTTTTAAAAATATTTTCTGAATTTCCATCAAACCTTCAAACATGAAACGTGGATTTTAAGTATTTTTCTGAAGTTCCATCAAAACTTCAAACGTTAAACTTGGATTTTTTTTAATATTTTTCTTAAGCTCTACCAAACCTTCAAACATGTTATATGGCGTTTTATAAATATTTTTCTAAAGTTCCATCAGACCTTGAAGCGTTGATTTTTAAAAAAATATTTCTTTAAAATTCCATCAGACCTTTAGACGTGACTTTTCGAAAATGTTTTCGAAGGACCATCAGACTTTCAAACGTGATTTTTCGAAAATGTTTCAGAACGACCTATCAGTCTTTCAAACGTGATTTTTCGGAAATGTTTCAGAAGGACCATCATCGAATATGTAATATTCGAATGTTTTAATTAATTAATTTTTAAAAATATTTTTTCTGAAGTTCTATCTTTTTTAGAAGTGCCATCGAAGGTCTGGGACTTGCATTTCGAACATGTATTATTTAAAATGGTGGACCTTCGAACGTCGACTCAATAACATTTTTTTCTTTAGTTTCATCATCATCAGATTTTTAAACGTGTATTAACGAAAATAATTGTCTGAAGTTCCATCGAACCTTTAAAGATGGAATTTTTAAAGCCAATAGACCCTGAAGAGTTGTTTTTAAAATATTCTTGAACCTTCACAGGCGACATACTAAAATATATTTCAACTTAGCCTTCAAATCACGATTATAAAAAATATATTTTTTTAAAGTTCCATCAGATCTTCAAAAGTAAATATTTCGAAACTGTTTATAGAAGAACCATAAGACTTCGAAAATGGGCGAATAAGAACGTATTTCAGATGACCATTGAGTTTTTTGAAATATTTTTCAAAGATCGGAAAGCACTACAAAACGGATACTCTTTATTAAGGATATTTTCTTCCAAAAGACGAAGAGGCCCTTAAAAATAGATTTTAAAGTATATTTTCTTTAGGACGAACCTGCCCACCAACGTGGTCTTTGGTATCCCAGAATTGGACGTAGATTTCCTAAAATTATCTTCTACAACACGAAGAGACCACCAAACGTGGATTTCTTGAAGATATCTTCTAAATTCAAAAGGACTTTCAAAGAATCAGCTCTTGATAGGAAAACTTTGATGGACTTCTGTGGACAAAAGACCCTTTAAGGATCTTTATGGCTGGAAACTTTTTTAAGGGACTTGTATTGCGGGAACACCTTTCCATATTTTTTATGCCTGTTTTTAAGGCCTTCGACTCATTGTAGGTCTTATATGGCTAGAAAATTTTAAATAAATTTTCTCTAGGCGAAGACACTCTAAAGCTATTCTGGGCATAGATGACTCTTTTAAGGTCTTCCCTTGGAGAGAAGATCCATTGAAGTTCTTCTATGGAATGTTTCTTCCTTTCATAAAAGGAAAAATGTCCCATAACTACATAATATATTTGGGAGGTCATCTGGATATTGAGGATCTTGTAGAGATTTTTCCACGAAGAGGAGGGAATTTATAACTTATAACTCTCTTTTGGTAAATTCCACTCTCCCAGCCCTGGTAAGTATTGATCACAGGTTACTCACATACGGAAATTATGCAACCTGCTATTGAAATGTCATTTGGCAAACAATGATAATTATTTGTCGAACGATCTCCAACATTGTTGTCTAACTGTCAAAGTGTCAATGAAAATGTCAAATTAAAACAACAACAACAAAAACCACTCAAGCTAATTTATTTCCATTTTTCTCCTTAGAATTGATCTTGAAACATAAAAATTTCGGGAAAAGAATAGGATATGCAAACAATTTCGAAGACAAGTTGAATAAAATAAGAAACCAAAAAACCAAAGAGAGAGAGGAGAGGATAATCAATGGATGGAAAAACTTCGATATATCCCGATGCTGCCACCGTATTTGCTGGAGTGTGTGCTTGCTTTTTTACCGTTGTTGGGGTCTGTGGCAATCTCATAACCATTTTGGCCTTGGTGAACTCACCCAAGATACGTGGCCATGCCACAACAGCCTTTGTCCTGTCTCTGTGTATTTCGGATCTGCTTTTCTGTTCGTTTAGTTTGCCGCTGACAGCGGTTCGTTTTTTCGCCCAGAAATGGACACTGGGCGATGATTTGTGTCGTATCTTTCCGGTGATCTTCTATGGCAATGTGGCCGTGTCGCTGCTGAGCATGGTGTGCATTACCATCAACCGATATATCCTGATCGGTTGCCATAATATCTATGGACGTTTGTATAGGCGCCAGTGGATTATTGTCCAATTGGCCTGTGTTTGGTTTGTGTCGTTTTTGCTGTTGTTGCCACCCTATCTGGGGGTGTGGGGTGAAATGGGTCTGGACGAGGTAACCTTCTCCTGTACGATACTCAAGAAAAATGGGCGTTCGATTAAAAAGCCCCTATTCCTGTTGGGATTTCTTCTGCCCTGCCTGGTGATCATTGCCTCCTACAGCTGTATCTACATCAAGGTGTTACAACAAAAACGGAAAATGAAATGTCATCGCCAGTTTGTGATAAATTCTAGCAATGCTGAAAATCTGGCGAGTGATACGCGAAAAGATCGGGAAGACAGTCGCCTAACGTTGATGATGATGACGATATTTGTGTGCTTCCTAATCTGCTTTCTGCCCCTGATGTTGGCAAATGTGGTCGATGATGAACGCAAAACCTCCTACCCCTGGCTGCACATTGTGGCCTCGGTAATGGCCTGGGCCTCGAGTGTCATAAATCCCATTATATATGCTGCCAGTAATCGAAATTATCGCATTGCTTATATGCGACTATTTAGACGGGTGAAATTTTGGAATCACGACGTCGTCTCAACAATGCCCAGTAAAACAAAACATTCAAAGGAATTATCGGGGCCTGCCCGTAGCACTCCACCTGCCCTGCTCTGTGGCACTGGAAATCGTGACAACAGAACGGAACATTTTCCAACCTATTCAGTTTAAGTGCCCCCCCACCACCCGAGAGGGGCAACATCGTAATTTATATACCTACATGCGAACGAAAGAACGAGTCATTTTGAGTTGCAATTTTCGAAATAAAATAACAAAAATAATATTCCCCACTGGAATGCCTTATAACTACCTACGAATATACATATATGTGTTTATGTATTACTTACATATCTAATTATAAATATATATAATAAATAAATAAATAAATAAAATAATTAAATAAATTAAAGGAAATAATTGTATCTAAGATTTTTTGAAAAAAAAAAATACAAATATTTTGAAGTACCCTTTTGGCTATAATTGAGGATTTGTAAGGAAAATTTGGGAAGGAGCATCAGACCTAAATTGAGGACTTATCGAAAATAATTTCTGCATGGCGAACAGAGCTTGAAATAGTGGATGTTAGGAATAAATTTGGAGGGACTATTAGACCTACAAACACTGATTATTATTAATTTAATTTAATAATTAATATTTTTATTTATTTATTTTTTTTTTTAAAGGAACATTGATTTTAAAGGATATTTCCAAAAAAAAAAAAAAAATAAAAAAAAAAAAAAAAAAAACGCGCGAAATATGGACTATTTTCAAATGTTTTCTGAAATACTAAAAAAATTTCCCAACTTTGATTTTATTCAAAAACAGCGATTTTTTTTTTTTTTTTTTTTTTTTTTTTTTTGAAAATACAAAATGATTTAAGACTTATTAACGTGGAGTTAATAAGATTATTCTTTTCAGGACAAAAAAATCAGATTTGTTAATAAAGGGTAAGGGTATCATGTCTTTGTGCATTTGTTTGTAACATGGAGCAGGAGACGAGGTAGACCCATAGTTACTTTTGAGGATCTTCATAGAATATCTTTCTGAGGCGATTTATGCATTTCGATCCCTCTGTCCGTCCGTCTGTCTGACCATGTATTTTTATGAGCAAAATGCAGATCGCATTTGTTATCCCATTGAGATGAAATTTTCCAAACAATATTTGTTTGGCCCAAGGACGAACCCTATTAAAATTGGGCAAATCGGTTCAAATTTAGATATAGCACCCATATATATCTTCAACCGTTTTCGGGTTAATTGTGCAACAAATGGTTAATATTAGCCCAAATGACCTGCATTTTGGCACATCTGACTGGATTCAGTCTACAAGCAAGTACATCAAATTTGGTGCAGATATAGCTTCTTTATGTATGTTTCATCCGGTTTGGTGTTTTAAGTCCCTAACCTGCGTAATATGCAATCCACAACAATGAATTTTGATACCAGATATCAGATACAGTCCGGTAATACTTCTGCCAAATTTGATCAAGATCGGTTCAGATTTAGATATAGCTCCAATATACATCTTCAACCGATTTCGGGTTAATTGTCCACCAAATGGCCAATATCAGTCCGAATGACCTGAATTTTGGCATATCCGACTAGAAGCGAGTACATTAAATTCGGAGAAAATCGGTCCAGATATAGCTATAGCTGTTTCATCCGATTTGGGTTGTTAGGTCCTTTACAAGCGCAATATGCACCCCAGAAGAATGATATTAGGTACCTGACATCAGAAATTTATAGAGATCTATGGTATACAGCTATACAGCTCATATAAGTGCGTAAAATTTTGTCAAGATCGGCTTAAGTTTAGATATAGCTCCCATATATATCTTTATCCGATATCAGATTTATTGTTCACAAATGGTTAATATTAGTCCAAATGGACAGAGTTTTTTGTATATATATATATATATCTATATATATATATGTATATATATATATATATATATATATATATATATATATATATATACATATATATATATTAAAGAAACTTGGATCTATTAAATAAATTTTCTAAAATAAAAAAAACATGTATTTAAAAAATTAAAAAACTTGGATTTTTTAAAGAAAATTTTTAAAATACCGAAAAACATGTTTTAAAAAAATTCCAACAAAAAATATAAAAGAAATCTAAAGCACCAACAAACGAGGATTTTTTAAATAAATTTTCTAAAATACCAAAAAAAAAAAACCTGGATTTTTTAAGAAAATTTTCTAATATACCCAAAAACGTAGATTTAAAAAAAAAAAATAAAAAAAAATTCGATTTTTTTCAAAGAAAAGAGACCATCAGACACCCAAAATTTTAAGTTTTAAGGGCCCAACACAATTCCAAATTTTAATTTAAAAAAGCAACTGTTCATGGTCCAATTGGATCACAATATGATGATTTGGTGATATTTTGAAAATCTGTTCATATTTTTATTGAATTGCGAGAGCTATAATTGTTGAATTGTTAATGCATTTTTTTGAGGACTGCTGAAGTTATAAGTGTGAAATATTCGAAGGAGTGTTAGAACTGTAATAGGAAATTTTCGAACATTATATTTGAAAGGTTGTCCTAGTTCTTATCGTTTTTTTATTTTTAAAGAATTATCAGAGCTACCTTCGAAAATAATAGATGGAATATTTTCCGTCATATATTGAAGTACTCCTTATGAACGAAAATACGAAATTTGAAAAAAATTCCGTTGAATACTGTCGCTAAAATCTTCAAAACACCGAATATCGGGTGGTACAGGTGTATGGGGTATGCGATATCGTGGACCTATACAGAAAATTCTCTTTCAGGGAGTAAAGTTTTCAGAAGGAACTCCTTGTGTGGATTTTTAGACAATTCTATTGTAAAATTTGCCTACAATCATCAAAATACCGAATATCGGGAGGTACCGTTATATGGGGGCTATACGAAATCGGGGACCGACATAGCCCATTTTCGAACTTGACATGCCTGCAGATAAAAAAAATGATCCATGCAAAATTTTAGCTTACTAATTTAATTCGTTTTGACTCTAGCGGGATTACAACAGTCGGATGGACGGACACGTCTAAATCGTCATATACTCTCCATACTTAATATACCCTCCATATAGTGTGTTGTTGAAGGTTATAAAAATACATATAATTAGGTGGTACAATTACTCGGAGGAACTACCCAAATGGGAGACAGCCACAATTCAATCCCAAAACCTCCGATCATATACGTTTTTTTCTGAATTTCAAAATTCTATTTAAAATATTGTACCCTCCCTACATAAATTCCAATAGGTTGATCGGACTTTAAATTTAAATTCCAGAATTTTATGCCTATCATGAATACATATTTATTGCAAACCATTTCGTTCAGACATTTATTTTTATTTTTCTTTTTGAAAAAATCTACTTTTTTTAGTGTAAATTGATGTCAACAATTTACTCAAAAAATTTTTCCGAAATTTTCGTTTTTCAAGAATCCAGTGTTCGAAATTAATTTTAACATATGTCAATTTTACACATATGTTAAGTCACGCTTTAGCATTTAAACCATGCTTTTTATATTTAGTGTAACGGTTACATACATTGACAATAATTCTTCATCATTACTTTTTCCGGCTATTTTTTTTTTTTATTTTTTTATAATTAATTTAAAAAATATCCAATTATATGGATTTCAGAAATAGAATTTTTTTTAAATATATATTTTTTTTTGAAATAGGGTTTTTTTACTGCTCAAAAAATCGAACAGAGGACGAAATGGGTTATGGCATTGCAAACGGAATGACGAATTGAATATACCTCCATCTAGTGACGAAGGTTATAAAATGGTTTCTCATCCAATTTTTTCCCCGCTGTACCTATTTAAACTTTTTTACCCATTTATGATGGTAGCTTATCACATTCTACCTGAATTGTTGTGGTTATTCCCACCTATATGTATACACATGAATAGAATGCTGGTTTTTAATTCAAACCTTAGCTACGCCATTCATGGCTTCCAGCAACAAATCTCATTAACAATTCAGCAAAAAAAGAAAACAATTTTAAAAAAGAAGCGGTAGTAATCATCATGACAGGCAAGAAAACAGATGTTCAACAATGGTGAATTCTTAATCAAGCGATCTTTTGAAACAACAACAAGATACCAATAATAACGACGATTCAACTGGTAGGAGAGATTCCTCGCCACAACAAATGCGATATGATCTAAAATTAATAGAGTTTTCTATGCTCAAATAACAACACAAAATATTGGCAGTACATGCTGCTCATTTAGAATACCCAATCTATGAAGGAGAGAAATTCCAATTGGCAAACCTTGTTATTTACATGCTTCTTTCTCCCTCTCTCACACAGCTCCACCACTTTCGATTGATATTATTATTAGTAAACAATCTACCCTTTCTATATGATATGATCTAAAATTAATAGAGTTTTCTATGCTCAAATAACAACACAAAACATTTGCAGTACATGCTGCTCATTTAGAATACCCAATCCATGAAGGAGAGAAATTCCAATTGGCAAACCTTGTTAATTACATGCCTCTTTCTCCCTCATACAGCTCCCCCACTTTCGATTGATATTATTTTTAGTAAACAATCTCCCCTTTCTATAACTAAGGTGTTTTTTTCTGCCCCTTTATCAGAAACAAATAAAACTTGCATTCAATCTCTGCCTTTGTACTTTACAATGCTCTCCCACTCTCTCTCTCTCTCTCTCACATTCTTTTCCGCATTGATTTTCATTTATTGATTATTGATCTCCCACAACTTCCCATTCTCAATAACTCTTTATTATTTATTTAATACATTACAATGGCACACAAACATTGATTACATTGCCTCTTCAAGTAATCTTTGAATGTTCTTGTCCTCCCCCTCAATTAAACTCTCTCTCGCTCTCTGCTATTTACAAAGGTAGTAAATTCCATTTCTCACATTGTACGAAGTCTTGTTTACACGACACCAGACGACTTACTGTTTGATCTCGGCTAGGTGGTTGATAAACAAACGGGGGCCTGCACCCACCACCACACACTATTACTCAATGTTTTGGTGTCAGTTTTATCTTGTTTGTTGTTTTGTGACAACAAAAAGAAAATAAAAATAATACTAACAAAAACAACACGAATGCCATCACAAAACTGCAAGTAATGTAATGCCGTTGGATTATTTTATGCAAAAATTTACTTAAATTTCATGTTGCGCCTTGTTATCTTTTTGTTTTGTTTTATTGTCTTTGATAATATAATAATTGAGGTGGGGACAAGAGAAAAACGACAAAAACGAGATCTCAACAATTGAAGATAAATGACAAAAATGAGCAAAATAGGTCTGTCTCATTGTTGTCTTATTTTTATATTTACTTTTTTGTTTTGTGGAAAATTATCTTATCAGGGCGAGGTGATCTTGAAGAAAGAAATTTAGTGCTGAACAAATTGGCGTTAAATTTCAGCCGTATGCAAGCGCACATACACAAATACAGCGCACAGTCTCTCACGTGAACCAACAATGCAAAACGAGTAAGTAAATACACTGAAAGAAATAATTTGTGGAATTAATTATGCACAAAACGGGTGAAGCTAAAATCTTGAAAATTTGCACGAGGGTCAGTCTTGGTGCGTATATGCTGGATTTTTTAGAAATTCGTACTAAGATGGTACGGAAAGTACCAAAAATGTACTAGAAATCTAATACTTTATATTGGACAAACGGAATGAGCTAGAAATAAGAAAATTGGAATGAGAGTCACTGATAGAGTGCAAGAGAGATGTACCAAAGAGTGTTTGGAAATTTGAACTTAAGGGTTAAGAACAGTTCTTAAGTGGAACTAAGACCTCGAACTCGCTGAATATGCGACCTATATTTGTATGAAAACTACTAACTGGTACTAAATGTGGTATTTAATGAATGATAGTGGCAGCAATTCTAAAATTTGATATTGAATTCTCCGCTGGCATTTGTGGTTGAGAGAAGGAGTGTGTTTTGGATATCAGTACCATAATTGTACTAAATTGTACGGTTGTAATGGGGTAATTGAAGTGCTGAAATTCTGAAACTTGATCTCACCGTTCGTGGCTGTGGTTTATATATGCTGGTGGTTTTGAAAATGTGTCCTATAATTGTACGAAAAGTACTGAATTGTACTGTGTTTGGTACTTGGTAAAGGGATAGAGACAAAATTCCGAAATTTGATATTTGGATTATTGAGGGTATCTTTGTTTGAGATTTGGCGGTGGTTTGGTGGTTTCCCTACACTCCACGGTTTGAAACGAATTTGGAAATTTCAAAAAAAAAAAAAAAAAATAAATAAATAAATAAATCCGTTAAAAATTTTGTTAAAATCTTGAAAATACCGAATACAGCCGTTATATTGGGGTCTATACTTTTGTCATAGGCCATTACAATATTCAAATACGAAAATTGAAAGAAATCCGGTGAATAATGTAGCTAAAATCATCAAAATACCGAATTCAGGGAGTTACCGTTATATTGAGGCTGTACGAAGACATGGACCTGTGTAGACAATTTTCCGTCGTAGGCTGTAGTACCTAATACGAAATTTGAAACAATATCGGTGAATATTGTACCTAAAATCGTCAAAATATCGAATTTTGGGTGGACCGTTATATGGGAACTATACAAAATGGGTCCTGAATAGGCAATTTTCTGTCATAGGCTGTAATATCCATTACGAACTTCAAATGCGAAATTTGAAACAACTCCCGTAAATGACGTCCCTACAATAATGAAAAAACCGAATATAGGGAGGTGTCGTTATATGGGGGCTACACGGTATCGTGGATCTACATTGACAATTCTCTTCCAGGGGGCGAACTACTCAAGAGGAACTCCTTGTGTAGAATTTCAGACAATGTCATTGAAAAATGCGGCTAAAATCATTAAAATACCAAATATCGGGAGGTATCGTTATATGGGGGCTATACGATATCGTGGACCTATGTGCGTGTGGATTTTGAGACAATTCCATTGAAAAATGTGGCTACAATATTCAAAATACCGAATATCGGGAGGTACCATTACATGGGGGATATACGATATAGTGAGGCGATATAAACAATTCTCTTCCAAGGGGTAAAGTACTCAAAAGAATATCTTTGTGTGGAATATCAGACAATTTCATTGACAAATGTGGCTACAATAATAAAAATACCGAATATCGGGAGGTGTCGAAATATGTGGGATATACGATATCGTGGACTCATGTAGACAATAATCTCCCATGGGGTTAAATCATGAAACTACCGAATGTCGGGAGGTATCGTTATATAGGAGATATACCGATATATACTTGTATCCGATCTCTACCATCTTTATCAGAGATCTTCTGTTGATAGAAGTATTGAGATGTAACAAATCTGAATGCAATTGGATGTTAATTTCGACTTTCATGAGCTTCATGGATATTCAAAATTTTGAATCTTTGTAGGAGAGGTACATAAAGGAGTGGGCCGATATACTCCATCTTCACACTAGACCTTGCGTTAAAAAAATATTGTACTATGTGTACTTTAAATGCAATCGGACTATTACATCATATTTTATAAGAGTTGTAATTATTCAAAATATTGACCCTATTTGGGGGAGGTACTTGATGGAGAGGACCGACATTGTCCATTTTCGCACCTGCACAATCACTGATGCAAATATGAGGATTTGCAAAGTTGGAGCAATATCGGATTATCCTTTTTTTCTATTCAGTAAAATATTAGTTTTCTTTTAATTTCGAACCTTTATGGGGGAGGTACCAGAAGATACCGACCGATATATTCTATCTTATCACCTGACCTTGGGTTGATAAAAATATTGGGATGTGTGAATTTATAAGAGTAGTAATTATTCAAAATTTTGACCCTTTGTGGGGGATGTATTTGATGGAGTGGACCGACATTGTCCATTTTCACACCTGACCTAGCACAGATGCAAATATTTGGATTTGCAAAGTTGGAGTAAAATCGGATTAATGTTTCTCTTTCTGTGCAGAAAATATTTTTTTTTGAAAATTTTGACCTTTTGTGGGAAAGGTACCAGAAGAAGTGGACCGATATTGCCCATCTCGGAACTCGATATAAGTTTGACAAAAATATTACGATGTTCCACCAAATCGGCCAGGTCTATCCGGGTCTAAAACCGTTATTTCGATGGGGCATCAAATGATATATACCCTCTGTAGCCATATGACTGAGGGTATATAAAAAGGCAATTTTTAAAAAATTACGCTCAAAAAGTTTCGAAATACATCTACAAAGATGCTGATATTTCCTTCAAAAACAGTGTCTAATATCAAATTCTCTTTTTTTTTCAAATTTTTCTTTCAGTGTTTGGTGATCGGCGTGTGATTTCCAACTGCTGCTGCTACTACTGCTGCTGGTGGTGTCTATTTACGTTCTGTGATTTATTTACAGCACTTCATGACGTTTCCACTTTTGCACCCGCTTTTGTTTTGATTCGACGGTGGCAATAATAACCGAAAAAAAAAAAACAACAACGACTAACGAAATAAAATAGCGGCAAATTTCTATGCTTTACGGCTAAATGACAATAACAAGAGAATTTTGTTGCTGTCGCTGTTTTGATGACGCTTTTGACAAGTTAAAATAATGATCAATGTCGCATAAGATTAAGCCGAGCGCAATTTACGACAATCAAAAGAGGAGAAAAAAAAATTAACACACGTTCAAATACCCGCAGAAAAGTAGTTGGGATTCTACTTTAATAAAGACCAAGCGAAAGCGCAAGAGAGAATAGAACAGAAGTCTCATTACGACGTAGGCACAGCGAAGCGGCGTTAACATTCAACCACCCAGTTGTTTTTTGGATAACTACCCAGCCGACTTGTGTGGTGGTAGTGGTGGTGGTGGGGGTTAATCATTCATTATCAGCAACATCATCGGATTCAACTGACTCATTTAACTACGTTGGGTTTTTATTGCTCTCTTGCCTGGCTGGCTGGCTCTCCAACTCATTGTTGCTGTGTCTCATTGGTGATGATGACGATGAGGTTTTTCATATAAAATTTCCTGACATTAATGTAGAGAACTTTAGTCTAACGACAACAAACGACCCTGCGACAACGCCACATCGAACTAGTATTACACGCACACGAACGTCGTTACGCCGCGCATTGCTACCAAATTCGAGCGGAGGAGCTGGGACGAGATCAATTTTTTTCCAGAGACCAAACACACACTCATTGCTATTGAGAAATCCCTCAAAATGTGGTTTTAAGCTGAATACAAATTAGTTTGCAAAAAAAAAAAAAAATCGAAAATCGCAAAAATCATGATCAATCACTAACCGGAGTTCGTGGGAATTAAAGTTGCGGAATTTGGAGCAGTGGATATAAATAAAACAAAATAAAAAAAATAATTCCAATAAAAAGAAAGAAACATAAAAATACAACAATTATTTAAGACGAATTTTTATGTGAGAAAAAAAAAACTTGCCAAAGATAATTTTATAAAATAAGATTTTATAAACATCGAGTAAATGAGAATTATTTGCATAACACAAATTAAGAACAAAATCATTGAGAAAAAAACTGAAAAAATCATTTAAAAAAATCAAGACAAGTCATACATAACTACAAAAATAAATATTTAATAAAAACCAAAACAAAATTTCAAAAAAAAATATTGCAACATTTAAAACTAACCAAGTGAATGAGAATTACAACCCATAAGCAACACACAGCAGCTTTACAATTAGCCACCAAACACACAACTTAATGCAACTGGGCAACTAACAAACCAAAGAAATTTTAAAACTCTTTCCAAACAACATCAAACATTAATTGAGAGCGGAGAGAAGTCTAAAGAGAGCTTTAGAAAGAGAGATACTTTGGAAACTCTGTTCAAACAACACCAAACCTCAATTGAGCGGGGAGAAGTCTAAAGAGAGCTTTATAGAGAGAGAGAGAGAAAACTCAAATAAATCAATGGAATTTTATTAAAAGAAACAAATACATAAAAAAATGTTCCAATTCTTTTTAGAACAACTTTGAAATTCTCTGAAATTTGAAGTCTGAAGTCCTGAAATCCTAGAAGGAAAAAAATCCGCAATTAGGAAAAAGAAAAACATCGAAAAGCTTTGAAGTCCAACCTAAAAGAGCCATCACAAAAAAGGTATCTCAGACGAGATATACAATCCTGAAGACAAACTCAACATTTGGCCTTGGAAACGCAGCTAAAGGAGATATATCTGATCTGAAAAGCTTAAATAATTTGTCAAAAGCTCTTTAAAATACCAAAAAAAGGAAAGCTCTTTAAGCTTAAGTATGCTCTAAGCATTAAATTGCAGCTAAAAGAAAATTAAAAAAAGCTTTTTTTTTGAAAGAGAGTGGGAGAAGGCTCCGAAACAATAAAATCAACACTCAAGTTCGAGAGAAGTGGGAACTTTGCAAAAGCTTTCGCACTAGACATCTAAGTTTTTGTTTGATCCCCAAAAGGAACATCCTTGAACATTTCGTCCCGTCAAAAATCAGCCGTCAAGTTCGTACCTTGGAAGGAGAGAGAGAGAGAAAAAAAAAAACTTTCAAAAGCTCATATACGTTACACGTTAAGGAAAAATCAAAGCATTTACATACATTTGAAAAGAGGAAGGTCCGATCAATTCGTCCCATCAAAAAATCAGCCGCCAAGTTTGTACCTCGGAAAAAGAGGGAGAGAGGAAGACAGTGAACTCGAAAAAAAACTTTCAGAAGCTCACACGTGTAACAAAGGAAGGAAGGTCTGTTCATTTCGTCCAGCCAAGAAATCAAGCGTTCAATTCGTTACTCAGAGAGAAAAGAGAGAGAGATAGTGAAAGACAGGAAAAAAAGTTGCGGAATTTAAATGAATTCTGAGAATTAATAAAAAGCTTCGAAAACATTTGCTTTTTCCGAAAAGATAACTCAAAACAAGATAAAGCGTGCAATTCGTTCCTCAGAGAGAGAGAGAGAGAATTCCAGAGCAGCCAAATCTTTGAGTAAATTGAAAAGAGAGCATTCAAAAGCTCTCTCACCACACGGCAGAAAACTTGAAGTATTTGCTTTCAAGGAAACACAGAAATCTCTGATTATTTCGTCCTATCAAAAAAATCAAACGTCCAATTCGTTCTTGAGAGAGAAAAGAGAGAGTGAGAGGGAGAGAGGAGAAGTGAAAATAAATATAATAGAGGAGAATAAATAGTTCTTGGGTTGCCAAGAAATTTGAGTAAATCCCAAAAAGCTATCGAAAGCTTCCAAATTGCACAGGGAGAACAATCGTCCGCGGAGAGAAACCGGTGGTCATTCGGTGGTTACGAAAACATAACTCAAAACAAGATAAAGCGTCCAATTCGTTCCACGGCAGAAAAGTTGAAGTATTTACTTTCAACCAGACATCTCTGATCATTTCGTCCTATCAGACGTCCAAATTCATTACTAAGAGAGAAAAAAGGAAGAGAGAGAGAGAGGAGAAGGGAAAATAAATATAATAGAGGAGAATAACTAGTTCTTGGGTTGCCAAGAAAATTTGAGTAAATCCCAAAAAGCTCCCGAAAGCTTCCAAATTGCACAAGGAGAACAATCGTCCGCAGATAGAGAGAGAGAAATCGCCGATCATTTCGCCCTCCTAAAAAATCAACCATCAAATTTCAGGTGGAAAACAATTCGCCGAGATTAGCCGAAGTTCAAATTGGCAGAACTTAAAATTTTTCGGAACGGAAAAAGCTTCAAAGAAAAGCTTTTTGCCTTAAAGTGATTTTTAGTCTGAAACTGAACCGTTCCGAAATCTAAAAACCCAATTCTGATCCCAATTTCCTAACAGGGAAAAAGGGAAAACTCAGTTTTTAGTTGAAGTGAGGAGCTTTAATCTCTTCAAAGCATCTGTTCAGGCGGCTTTTAAATAAACCATTCAGAAAAAATCGGAAAATCTTTCAATTTCGTCCTAAAAACTTCCAAGTCCCAGTCGAATAACTAAAACACCCTCAAACTTTCGCCAAAACTTCTTGGAACGTATTCTTCACCATTTTTAGGTTCGCACCTCAATCTCAACACAATGCAAACCAGTAGCCGAGTGGAACCCACCACAGCCGAATTGGCCGAGAGTCGAAAACTTCTTCACCGCATACTACTGGATCTGTTGATCGTCATAGTCCTCGTCATACCCATAGCTGTGTGTGAATTTGCCATTGAACCATTTAGCCGGGGATTCTTTTGCGATGATGAAACCATACGTTATCCTTTCAAGGATAATACAATTACTCCTGTGCTGTTGGGTGTAATTCTGGCGGTGCCTACCTTCCTTATCATTGGCATCGGTGAATATGTGCGGCAGTATAAAAAGGGCACCATCAGTAATACCAGATATCTGTGGGGTTGCCGCATACCCATTTGGTATTGCAATATCTTCAAACAATTGGTCTATTTTGGGTTTGGATTGTTATTGACTCTGGATGCCACGGAATTGGGTAAATACACCATTGGCCGGTTGAGGCCTCATTTTATGGCCGTTTGCCAACCCCAGTTTTCGGATGGTTCCACGTGTGCGGATTCCTTCAATCAACATCGTTATGTGGAGAATTATTTTTGCCTGGGCACGGGTTTCACAGCCGCCGATGTGCGTCAGGCCCGACTCTCCTTCCCCAGTGGCCATTCCAGTTTGGTAGTCTATAGCATGGTTTATGTTGCCCTGTATCTGCAAAAACGCATGCACTGGCGCAGATCGGATTTGACCAGACATTTCATACAATTCACCCTAATTATGGTGGCCTGGTTTACCGCCCTCAGCCGCATCATGGACAATTGGCATCATTGGTCCGATGTCCTGTGTGGCTCTCTGATTGGTGTTGTGGCAGCTTTAATTACCGCCAATTATATTAGTAAGTTCTTCAAAAAACCCCACTCCGAGTTGGCCACGTTGCGACTCACGGGTGGTCTGGCCAGGCAGGATACCTCGGCCACGCTCAATGAAGTCTTGGCCCATACACCACCGCCCTATACCATAGATTCGGAGGCGGCTGCGGCGCCTGATTTTACAAATGATCAATACTGCACCAAGGTGTAAAGGGTCCTTGGCGGAATCGAGCTTTAAAGCTTTGTAAATATGTTAATTTTTGTTAAATGAAAAAAAATATATAGTAGCTAAGCTTAAGTTATGCACAAAACGAAAAGCTTTTACACCAAACAAACAAACACACAACCACATTCCAGCTGTTTAATGCAGAACACATGTCTCATAGTATTATTAAGTTTTAAGTTGCTTTTTTTTATTTTTAAGTTTTTTTTTTTTTTTTTTTTTTAATAATAATAATAATAAAAAACACAAAATATTTTATAAATTATTTTTGTTCAAAGTAAACCCGTTGGCTTTTGTTGTTATTTTTTTACAAATTTTTTTTTTTGAGGTGGGATTTTCTGATAACCATGGTAAGTTGGCGTATTTTGGTAAGTATTTTTGTGCTATGACTCATGCTGGCTTTTGAGGCCAAAAACACACGAAATTTTCGAAAGCACATAGATGACTAGGCCAAAAACAAACGCCGATAAATATTGAAGACGAATTGTGACATAGGGCAATTTTTACCAAACCCAATGGTGATAATTATCAAAAGGTGATCTGATAATAGGCAATAAAGAAATAAACAACGTATATTTTGGAATCTTATCTTTATAGACTCTGCAATGTTTCGATATCTTTTTTCCAGAAGGGGAAATACCTTCCTATCATTACATTCAAGAAACACAATTTTTGAAAGGGCTCCAGACAGGTTGGAATTTTTGGAATTAAAAAATACGCGATCTATTTTTATACTCTACACCACAAGGTGGTCAGGGTATTATGTCTTTGTGCATTTGTTTGTAACAGGCAGAAGGAAACGAGATAGACCCAGAGTTCCTTTTGATGATCTGCATAGAATCACATTCTGAGTCGATTTATGCATGTCCGTCCGTCCGTCTGTCCGTCCGTCTGTCCGTCTCTCCATGTATTTTTGTAAACAAGTACAGTTCGCAATTATTGCCCGATCCAGATGAAATTTTGCAAAGATCTTTTGTTTGGCCCAAGGACGAACCCTATTGAAATTTGAGATAATCGGTCAAAATTTAGATATAGCTCCCATATATATCATCGTCCGATTTGCCTTTTATTGTGCACCAAACATGTAATATCAGCCCGAATTGTATGGAATTTTGCACATACAACCAAATTAGGCCTGAAAATAAGTATGCCAAATTTGATCGAAATCGGTTCAGATATAGCTATAGCTCCCATATATATTGTTCATCCGATTTGTTATTTTTGCCCACCGCCGCCGTAATATGCACTCTGCAACAACAATATTTGGGGAAATATATCAAATACAGCTCAGAAACACATTTGCTAAATTTTATCGAGATCGGTTCAGATTTGGATATAGCTCCCATATATAACTTCGTCCGATTTACCTTTTATTGTGCACCAAACCACCAAAAAATTTTCCAAATGGGCTGGAATTTGGCACATACGACCGAATTGAGAATGTCAAATTTGGTGAAGATCGGTTCAGATATAGCTATAGCTCCCATATATACTGTTTATCCGATTTGTTATATCTGTTACCCACAACCGTAATATGCACTTCGTAACAACGATATTCAGGGAAATATATCAAATACAGCTCAGAAATATCTTTGCCAAATTATATCGAGATCGGTTCAGATTTGGATATAGCTCCCATATATATCTTTATCCGAATCCAAATAATTTGTGTACCAGATGTACAATACAAGTCCGAATTTAACAGATATAAATGCTTCGGCATATTTAGTCTTTTGAACTTTAAATTATAATTATAATCATAGCGTGTATGATTAAATTCGGCCCCGCCCGACTTTAAGACTTTCTTTACTGGTTTTTTTTTCTAAAAATAACACGAATGGAAAATATTTTTTAAATAATTGGACGATAAAAAATATTTTTTTTATTAAATATTTATTTAAAAGCAAATAAAAAAAAATATTAAAAATATAAGTTCGGCCGGGCCGAACTTTAGAATTAGAATTAATTTGGAAATTTTACAAAAAAAAAAAAAAAAAAAAAAAAATTGTAACGAAAGTCATCGGGGCCGATTTTATGATCGGGGCCGATTTTATGATGGCCTACACCACTTTGCTAACTTAGTAGAACTCCACAAAACAATTAAAAGTTTTTATGGGAGAATTCAATCATACACTCTATGATTACAATTATAATTTAAAATTCAAAGGACTAAATATGCCGAAGCATTTGTATCTGTTAAATTCGGACTTGTATTGCCCATTTGGTGCACAATTAATTTGAAATCGGATAAAGATATATATGGGAGCTATATCCAAATCGGAACCGATCTCCATAAAATTTGACAAAGATATTTCTGAGCTGTATTTGATATATTTCCCTGAATATCGTTGTTACGGAGTGCATACTATGGCTGTGGGTAACAAATACTTCAAATCTGATGAACAATATATATGGGAGCTATAGCTATATCTAAACCGATGTTCACCAAATTTGACATACTAGCTTCTAGACTCAATTCGGTCGTAAGTGCCAAATTTCATCCCATTTGGGCAAATATTTTACTTTTGGTTCACAATAAAAGGTAAATCGGACGAAGTTATATATGGGAGCTATATACAAATCTGAGCCGATTTCGATAAAATTTGGCATAGTTATTTTCAGGCCTAATTTGGTTGTATGTGCAAAATTCCATACTATTCGGGCTGATATTACACGTTTGGTGCACAATAAAAGCGATTATCTCCAATTTCAATAGGGTTCCAAACAAATTTTGTTTGGAAAATTTCATCTCAATCGGATAATAAATGCGACCTGCATTTTGTTCATAACAATACATGGACAGACGGACGGACGGACGGACGGACGGACGGACATGCATAAATCGACTCAGAATGTGATTCTATGCAGATCATCAAAAGGAACTATGGGTCTATCTCGTTTCCTTTTGCCTGTTACAAACAAATGCACAAAGACATAAAACCCTGACCACCTTGTTGTGTAGGGTATAAAAACAGCAGGTTCGGCGGGCCGAACTTTGAATGTCCTCCACCATTTAGAATTAGCATGGAAACTTTCTCAAACAGAAAAAACAAAAAATAAATAAATAAAATAAAATAAATAAATAAATAAATAATAATAATTACCAGTCAGGAAAAGTCAGACGTGGCCGACTATACGATACCCTACACCACTATGCATATTTAGTAGAGCTCCCGTAACAAAAGAATTTATTTCAAGTAGATCACACCACATAGAGTGCATGGTATCACTTGGAGCAGGATTATATAAAACAAAATAAAAAAAGCTATAAGTTCCGCAGGGCCGAATTTTTAATACCCTCCACCACTTGAAACGGTTTTGGCAATTTTCAAAAAAAAAAAAATAATAATAATAATAATAATAACCAAATTAAATCCGTTAAAAATTCTACTAAAATCTTAAAAATGCCGAATGTTGCCGTTATATTAGGGTCTATACGATGTAGTGGATCTGCATCATCAAATATCCGGATATCGGGAGGTACCGTTATATGGCGGCTATACGAAGACCTGGACCTGCATCGACAATTTCATGTCACACAAAGTAGTACCTATTAGGAACTTCAAATACGAAATATTGTTCCTAAAATCATTAAAATACCGAATATCGGGAGGTACCGTTATATGGCGACTATACGAAGACCTGGACCTGCATAGACAATTCTCTGTCATAGGCTGTAGCAGCCATTAAGACTATCAAATACCAAACAATTCCGGGGAATAATGTCGCTAAAATCATCAAAATACCGAATATCGGGAGGTACCGTTATATGGGGGCTATAGGAAGACTTGGACCTGCATTCGGTTTTTTTTGCATAGGCTGTAGTAATCATTACAAACTTCGAATACGAAATTTGAAACAATTACGGCGAATACCGTCGCTAATATTTTCAAAAACCGAATAAAGGAAGGTACTGTTATATCGGGGATATACGACATCGTGGACCTATATAGAAAATACTCTTTCAGGGGGTAAAGTACTCACAATGCTATTGAAAAATATTACTAAAATCGTCAAAATACAGAATATAATACCGCATATGGGGGGGGGGCACCATTGTTTGGGTGATATACGATATTATGGACCTATATATTTCATTGAATGAAAGCAATGAATGTCGGAAATAACAAAAAATTTTAGAAAAAGATTTAGATTTGTTCGAATTGGATACCTATGGCACGAATTATGACCTCCGAATGTTGCTCTGCGGTACTTTAGCGCATTCCCGGTGAAGCGCTTCTAGAGGTGGTGGACACTTTGGTATTTTTTAGTGCCAACATAGATTTCCAAAATACTCCAGACACAATAGTCCAACGGATTGGTATCCGGAGATTTTGGTGGCCGGCCATTGTGCGCTGGAAATGAAGCGAGGAACCTCATTTTGTAAACATTCTTGGTTGGTGCGTGCTGAGTGCGTGGGTGTTGAGTCCTGTTGAAATATCCAAGGGCTGCGGCCAAAATGTTTGCGTGCCCAAGGCTTTAATACACCCTCCAGAATATGTTCGCAATAATATTCGGCATTCATTCTGATGCCACGGTCGATTACTACGAGCGGAGAACGACCATCAGCTGTTATAGCGGCCCACACCATCACCATGGCCGGCGCTTGAGTGCTGACCTTTTTGGCAAGTAAACACGATCTTTTTGTTTGTTTACAAGCTGCTGGATAACGAATGTTTTATAATCGGAGACCACCAAACCAAATTCGGCAGTTCACCACTTTCGGCCAAGCGAAGCAACTCTTTAGCTCTTTTGAGTCTATTTTCTTTCTGTTGCGGTGTAAGTTCTTACACTTTTTGGAATTTCAATGGCTTTACCCCGAGCTCATTTTTCAATATTTGCCGAATGGAATATTGCGATATGTTCAGCTCATGAGCCATTTTTCGACCACTGCTACGCGGGATTCGATCAAGTCGCTTCTTTATTTTTCGAACCATTTCTGATGATGTTCCGTCCATTTCCTTGACGTCGGGCTACGCTACCAGTATCACGGTAAAGAGCGATGGTACGAGGCAAAAAAGATTTGTTCACCTTTAAATGCTGGAGTGCTGTAACGATAGCCACTTCTTGTTTTCCAGCCAAATATAAAGAAATAACACTATCACGCTTGAATTCCATCACGAATAACTTTTTTCTGATAATTCTCAACAAAATTCCACCAAATTTGAAGTATTGGTTTATAGGATGAATTCAGTCGTAA